ATACCAAAAGAATTGACAGCCTTAATCCAATATAAGACTGCAGCAGACAACTTGTCAATGTTAAGCTAGAAGAAAAACGTAGAAAATGTTATTTCAGTGTCTGCTCAAGCAATTAAAAATTGCTCCTTTTTATATACTTATATCTTTGGGGGGGGGTGTCTGTGTAGTGTGTATACATACATATGTATATGTTAGTGGTTCTTATATAGAAATACTGTATATTGACATTAGCTTGAATCCAATTTTAGTGTTAAAGCTATGTCAGCACTTCAATTATAAGCTCATATTTAGGAAGGTTTATAACTGGTATAAAAGACTTGCTCAGGAACAAATCTTTATTGTAATTATGGTATTTTAGAAAGTTGTCTGGTAACATTTATCTTCAGGGAGTGAAAAAAAATCCCCAAACCTCATTTAATACCTGTTTCAGACATTCTCTAAGCTTTTATTTTAAAAAAAAATTACAGCTTTCATTCAGAAATGTTGACTGGAGTAGCAGTTGAAATGACTACTTCACGCTACTTCACGGTCAGGGCGGCTAGGGTCTGGAACCAACTTTCAAGAGAAGTGGTGCTGGCCCCTACCCTGGGGGTCTTTAGGAGGAGGTTAGATAAACACCTTGCTGGGGTCATTTGACCCCAGTACTCTTTCCTGCCATGGCAGGGGGTCGGACTTGATGATCTACTCAGGTCCCTTCCGACCCTAGAAACTATGAAACTATGACTAAGTAAATGCATCTCTAGGCAGATCTGGCTAATGCTTCTTGAAAATAGCTTGTGTGTGTTTGACATAGTGGGGCAGCTCTTTCAGTGTAGTTTATTGGGTAAATATATAGTTAATGTTTTTAATATGTTGTTGCAACTTGTCCAGAAAATGGTGAACAAAGATTGAATATTCCAGCTCTCACTATATCATGCACTCAAATGCATCTTACTTACAAGGGAAGAAGTGGGCAGTTAACAAAATTCTGAGTTAAGACTTCATTTTCAGTAATGAAATAAAAACATAAGTATGCCTTGTTCCCCTCTTTTTATAATATTTAAAACTGAGATGCCAATGTTTCTGTAGCATTTCTGTGACTCAGGGTTCACATAGGGGCCTGACCATCTTAGTGTGCTTTATCAGATGGAAATATAATTCCAGATTCACTTTTACTCTTGTAGTAAATCTAGTTGAAAAGGTCTCTAAGCTTTTATTAAGTACAGTCAGGCTGCACAAATCTAGTTTCCATTCAATTTCCTGTTTATGACTCTAGGTATGGTAGGATAACATTTCATTTTGAAGGGTGGCCACCAACATTGCAGCAAAGATACTGACTTCTTATACAAGGGCTAAGCAATATATTTCAAAATCCACTCCCATCCTCACACCTAGCAGTTTTATTTTAAGAATTGTTTTGACTGTCCAGACTGTTGGCAACATTTTCGAAACAAGTAATATTTAACAATTTCATTGGCCAGTGCTGCTCCAGAGAGATGGGGCAAGTTTGTTAATCTGTTTATTGGCATTCATCTTTGAAATCCCATAGGTTAATTTGTATAGAGAAGGATTTTCCTGGTGAGATAAATGTAATGACCATAATTAGTTCTGACTGCATCTGCTGGATCTACGAGGTGTTCAGAGGTCTCGCAATGATCTTTTGTTGAACTGTGGACATGACTCTGACAAGTATGTTTGGTCCAGAGGCTGACCAGGTGCAACACTCATATTCTATTACTCTTGAGAAACTCTATCCCTGTGAGAGAATTTTTTTTTTATTGTTTCAAAGGCCAGACAAAATATCATGGAGAGCTAGTACTAGTATGCTGTGATTGTTATGCAGAGTGGGATGGTAGTTTTGCTGATTTTTAGGAATTTATAAGTTTCAGCATTCATCCCAAAATTTCATGGTCCCTAAAAGGGGCACATTGTGTACAAGTTTACTCATGTGCTGCAGGTACAGCTTACAGTATTCATCTATTTTTTCCCCCTCTAGTAGCTCAACGAAATTCTTTTACTTCTTTGTTGTGTTGTGCCCAGGTTCCTGATGTCGGTCATGTGAGCCTTTTAGTGATGTTAATCACTGTTTCTAACTAAACATTTGGACATGCAGATTTCAAAAAGAGCTTCCATTTAGCATATACAGGATGTAAGAGGAGTTTAGAGCATTTGTAAATTCAGATAGTGAAGCTGAAGTGCACAGATTACATTTGCATCCATATGTTGGAAAATAAAGATTTTGTTTTAGAAATTATTAGATATTAAATACTACTGTTCTGCTGAGTGTGAGAGAAGTCCAAATATTAAGACAAACCCCTACTACATTTGATAGATTTCTGAATTCCACACTTGTTTGTTTCTAATGAAACTTAATTAGGGGTTGGAATAGCCAGAGGATTATAGAAGAGCTGTGGCTGATGAGGGATTTTCATAAATCTATATGATGCAAAGCCTTCAGTGCTTGTTTCAGTTTTTCCCCACAGAAATAATGCTATTTAGAAATTATTTCTATAGAGAGATTACTGCAATGAAAACAACTATTTTCAACCTTACCGTTTTTATATCATGTTGTTCTCAATTGTGCATCTGAAGATGCATTTAATATGGGGGAGGGAGTTTGGAGGAGGGGGGTTTCTTCATATAATGATATACAATTTGAAAGACATTTTACTTTATTGCTGTTTACATATACAAGAATGACAGGGTACTTAAAGATCCATTTGGGATATCTTTTAAACAGCTGGTGAAGCAAGGCAAGGATCTGTGGAGTAAGAGCCACTTTTATCTATGCTTGCTCTTTGGAAGGACCGTTACAAAGTCCAAATGCCCACGGGCAGTGGGCTGAAAACAGAAAAGCTTCTGTTTGCAGTTGCAGCATCTTGTGAGATTAGGTTGATTAAATAGAATATAACTGCCATTTCATGGATAGAGATCCTCAATCTCAAAATTGAGGAGCAATTTGTGAGTTGCAGGAAACCAAAGATAAATACATAATGCTTTTCCTCTTGTGTCCAGTAAACCTGAGGGATGCTGTCTCCCACCATAGTTCAAATCAGCAGTCTGTTTTCTTTGATTTCTTACATTCAATGAGATTGCAGCCTTAATATTGCTAGGAAGTTTGACTAACTAGTAACTGTAAAAGATTGAGCTTCTAGGATAAAGTCTTTAAATTGTTCAGTACACACAGGATACATATTACTTTTTCTTCTCCAGCCATTTGATGTTCTGGATCTGTTGGCTTCCTTATATAGGTTGCAGTTTCTAAGCAAATTCTCCAGTTGTTTATCTCTAAGCATTTGCTTTGCCCCACACTCAAGCTGGGTTCTCCTTCAGGGTTGCTTTTGTGTTTTGGTGCTCAGTTTTTGTGGCTTTCCCATGGCAAATTCCTTTGGGCTCATTGGATAGTATTAAATAAAGGAGCAGAGCCTCTGTTGTAGAATCACAAGGAATTCTTCAATACACTCATGATGTGTACCTTCTTTTAGGTGGACACACTCTGACTTCTGTTTAGCCTCCTTGTTCAGCACATATGGTGGGGTCTCACTGAATATGGAGTAAGATTATAGCAGCAAGAACCTTCAGTCTGTTCTGGTTGTCAGTTGTGGAAAGACTCCTTGCTTAGGAAAGCAGGTGTATCAGGCAAATATCTAAGATGCCAGCTGCAACTCTGCAGGACAGCAGCAGTATAAAATCTTCTGATGATATCAACCACCATACCTTCTTCCTCTGCATGTTGCTGGGAACCATTCTTCTGCTCTCCACCCATATCCTCAGTTATAGAGAATCTGATTATCCTCTCTTTGGGAGTCCTAAGTCAGACCTCTGCAACACAATTATAATTTTCACCATCCTGTTATGGCTGGAAAGGAGAGATACTAAGTGGGCATTCAGCTTAGGAAATTTGATTGCAAGAGGGATGAATATGTGAGAGAATAGTATGTCAGTAGCAGAGTATAAGATGCATGTCACTACTGATTGTTCCATTACTCAATCTAAAGCTAGGTAGCCATCATGGCTGCTGACAGACCTGGGGCTGGGGGGGGGAAACCCCAGCACTTTACTTTCAGTTTGATGTGCCCCCATGCCAAGTGCAGCACATTCCCAGAAGAGGAACTGCATTAGTTTGATCAGCTGATTGAATCAGTTACTATATAAGTGCCAAAACCCCTACTGAATTGCCCAATATATACAGATGCTGGGGAGCCAAGTCATACTATGCAGTTCCCCTTCCAGTAAAGCACCATTTTTTTTATCATAGACAACAGCAGCCCATAACAGTACCTTTTTTTTACAATGGTTAACCAAATACCTGAAGTATAATTAAATTGGGGTCCATTGCATGAGGTATCCTGAAATGGTTGAGGTAGGGCCCAAATTGGATTGGGGTAGGATTAGCCAGTCTGTGTACACACACTGGGATTAGCAGAATAAATTCTTATTAGTCCAAATTAGTTGATATCTAGTGTAGCCAAACCATTCCTAACACAAACCTTGGGCCAGATTCCAATATCAGCAGTGAAGCAATTGTTTTTCCCCTTGCATTGGAGTTTGAATATTAATTAGTAGTTTTACATAGCTGAACAACAAGATAATTTTTTCTTCTTATAATTCATTTGATTCATTATACTTCATGAATTTTGTTCCCACCTACCCCAGCTCTGATTTTTTTTTACCCTGAAAGATACAGCAAGGATTTTCAGGTATATATTTATAGGTACACTTTAACTTAAGTGGGGTGTGTCATATATGTGTCATTTTACTCTGCAGAAGGCAAGCAAAAACCCTGGGCAGCTTTTGAGTTTCACTTAATCCCTATTTCAAGGACTTGCATGAATAAGCCTTGTGTCTGTGCTCTGTATGTGGAATGAGCTCCAAATGGGACAAAAATTTGTTTTGTTTTTTCCTACCGTGTAAGTTTTGGAGGTGTGTGGGACAATATTGAGATTTCTCTTGCTAGTTGTTGCTTCAGTACTCAATTACCAACAAGGTTTTAAGGTGGTGATTTTTTTTTTTTGTTCCAGAAAACTGAGAAGTGGGAAAGTGAAAAGACTGATGCAGACATGGAGGAATATAGCTGGGAGAATTCCTGCTCTCAGAAGAATGTCTTGGACACACTTCTGCGAATAAAAGCTGCAGAGAAAATCAGTGATGTACCTAGGGAAGAACTGCTTGCTTCTGAGATAGTCGAGAACTACAAAAACTCTGTGGTCCTGCTTAAAAACGAGGGGGAAACAGAGGATAACGTGTCTAAGTACAAGGAATCAGTTAAGAAACTGCTGAATCTGCAAGGATTCCAGTGAAAATAGACTTGCTTAAGTATAAAGGTGAAAATGTGTTATTAATACCTTTGTATAAAATTCAGATTAGCTATCCATAATGTCTAAGCATCTTCTTTCTTCGAGTTTTTAAAAAATTAACTAAACCCAAATGTGGGTGATTATAGAATTCGGAAAGTATCAGCGATGCTTAAATTCAGTCATGGGAAAAGTTTATACACTATCATGGTCCACAAACATCATTTGTGTATGAATAAAACTTGTATTAGTTCTTGTCTGGCAAGCCATCAAAATGAATGCCCATTGCTTTGAATTTGCCATTCAACAGGTGCTAGTGTGGAACATGGTGGATCCATAACCAATCTTTTGATCCATCAGAAACTTAAGCATGACTTTGGCCAAGTCACCACGGGCACAGTTATTAAAAAAGTACGTAAGAGATTTCGGGCTAACAAGTTCCACTGACTTGTAATACGACTTAAATTCATATGTGACAACATTCACTTTTAGAATGGGAGTTGATACCTAAACCTCTTGGGTACTTTTGAAAATGTGACCCTTAGGTTTTCTGTGTCTCTGTTCTTTGGGGATTATATTTCCCTGCCTCTAAGGTATTGGAAAATAAACACATTTAAGATGTTAATGCTCATATATTATGCTAGGACAGGGATTGGCAACCTACACTCAACCAAGTCACTGGATCCAGCCCACAGAGCTAGGGTTTTCTTGGGTAACCTTGGTGGCTGGTAGCTTTGCCCATGCCATGCCAAGCTGCAGCCAGGTGGTGGGGAACTTTTTGTGTTTGCAGCACCACAGTCAGGCAGTGGAGAGAAGCATAAGTGTAGAAAAGCAGTGGTGACAGCCAGGTCTTAATATCAGCATGTCAGACCCACCCTGGGCTGTTCCAATCTACTTGCCAGAAACTATTGCTGACAGCTGTGCTAGAAAGCCAAATAAGCAACTTGCATAGAAATGGTATACCCAATGGAAAAGGAACAGGATAAGGTAAACCTTGAAATAGGAAATAGACAAACTAGTGAGTTGAAGGCTAATGAGAATTGATTTCCAGGATACCATCATGCATAAAGAAGGAAAAAGGAGAAAATGGAGGTTGGATGCATACAGGATAAAATCTTGTATACCTATACAAGATGTATATAGAATAAGTAAGCAAGTAATGTATTGTTGCATGAACAAAAGGGATTTTAATGAAAGGACATAGACTGTTAAATGAGTGAAGTATAAATTAGAGTGTGACATTTTTGGTACAGGAGGAGGTGTATTAACTTGTCTATCATGAGTGAACCTGGGAAATCTTGGTGTGGGAAATGATTGCTTGCAGCTGCTTGTTACCAGGTGTAGAAGAAAACATGATACGAATGAGTGTTATTCCTTTGACTTTTTTTTATTTGAACAGAAGTGGTGTTGAAAACCAAAACTGCCAACAATTTTCAGGTATACAACACGTTATCTTCAAGAGGAGACTGGACAGGGATCTGGCTGGGGTCTTATGACCCCTCCCACCCCCAGTGCTCATTGCTGCCCATGGCAGGGGGTCGGACTAGATGATCTGTCCAGGTCCCTTCTGACTATGATTTTAACACTGATCAAAAATAGTTTCTTTAATAGCAACAAATATTCAGAAAAATTAGTCGTACAACTGATTTGGTTACTCTTCTTTCTTTTGTTAAAAAAGAAATATCAAAAATAGAATGCACAGAGAATGCATAGCTAATTATGCCAAGAGTTTGACTTTCAGGTTTACAAACATAATTCCTGTGTTGGGGGAAAGGGGTGTTAATCAGAATTAGATATTGTAAATCCTTGATATGTAATAAGGCCAAACTGGTAACCTAATGCTCCACTCCCGAGCCACAGCTAGTTAAAAGGAAAACAGTTAAGAGCATGGGTATGAACCCTGGCTAGGGAGGAGGAAAATTACTTCTGTATAATGTTATTTGGGACTCCACGGGAAGCCTTCTGCCTGGCTTCAATCTTTTGGCATTAAGGCCTCTATATGCTGCAGCTCATGTCATATCCACAGGTGGCTAGTGACTCCCTTAAGGGAGTGGCATTGTCATAGGGATTCTGTCTAGTAGGACACAATTTTCCATATAGGCAGAAGTCTCTTTAAAAAAGAAAGAATATTTAAATCGTTGCTACAGAATCCTTATAATTGCTACTATCAAGATTAAAAAAATGTTTGCATGACCATCCTATCTTCAGTCTTGTCATGTCATAGTTATTTACCTTCTAGACAAATTTTCCCTTCTTTCAGCTCTGCATCAAGGTGAATTTTATTTCTGAAAGGTTGAGGTGTTTCAGGGAATGGTCCAGCTGTTTTTGAAAGAGAGAGAGGAGGTGAAGGTAAAAACATTTTCCCACTTGAAAAATATTTGTGTGTTGCAATTTTGACTTGGAAAATACCATGAATTGTTGAAGAGTGTCTGGCCTTTTTCTAGAGTAAGTTTGTTTTCATTATTTACAATTGAGAAATTTACTAGACTTGTCATGGTTCATTTAGAGCATTAGGCCAGCATGCATAACTTTTGCTTCATGTAGAACAGCTAATCACTGCAAACTTGCTTAAGTAACTTTCCAGGTGGTTTGAGATGCTTAAAATGTAATAAGATTCCTTTTCTTGCTACTGTTGCTCTTCCCCTTTAAGTTGCCCTCATGTGCAGGGAAGTCAGAGCCAGGAGGTACTGAATTCTATATCTTTCTACAACTGAGGTCAGTTCACTTTTGCAGGCTTTATTAATCCTGCCCTATATAGTGAGCACTCCATGTAAAATCACTGTAGTTTTGAGGGTCAAAGTTTGGCTTAGAAACATCTTCATTGGAATAAGAGGAGGAGGGCACAGGAAATTGATTTGTTTGCAACTATCTTAGCGTTTGGAAATCATCTTCAGCAATTTGATATCATTAACACCATATGTAATAGAGGATGGGCTAAGAAATAGAAAATGAATTAAATACTAGTTTCTCTATTAAGTGTTCAGGCTTGGCCTCGGCTATACTTTTTTATTCCCAGAAACACAGAATAAGAGTTCCTAGATTGTGATGTCCTCGATCAGAGATGACACATTACCAGAGTTGTCAGGCTAAGTGGTCCTGTCTACAACCTCTAAACTCTGTTAGCTAGCAAAAAGCTAAAAGTAGAACTCCAAGGAACAGAAGTTGGAACTTGCTTTTCTAGTTTTCTTTTCATTCCTTCTGCCCCTTATTAAAAAGAAAAACATTACATTGAAATTTAAAAAGAATCTCTTAATACAACAGTAGGGCTTTATAAAAGTTGCATGCACTTTGTGATAGTACCTTGTTATTATAGGCTGAAACATTATCAGACAAGGCTACTAAATGTGTTCCTTTGGGACCACTGTCCTGTCCTCACAGATGCAGATTGCTCATTCCAAATGCAACAATTTTCTCTGAGGGGGGGGAAAAAAATCTACTTGCAGTGAGAAAATTCTCACTCCAGTGGAAGCAGCTCAGATTAGCACTGTCTTTTTAGTGCTTACCTATATGGTCTCAGAATCCTTGTTTCTTCTTTGCACTTTATTTTTGGACATTATCATATTTACCTACATACCACACCTACCTCTTCCCAAAAATTAGCCCTCTAAAATTGGGGTACATCTTTTAGGAGAGGAAGCTGATCTCCACACCAAAGTGGAGGCATAGAGATGCTAGAGTGGCTGCTAGGGATGTTCTGGGCTTTGCTGTATCAAGGAAGGATGGAGTCCAGTCCCTTCTTGTCACTCGCTTGCTACAGCTCCAGAGGTACAGGTTTAACCCTGTCACTGCCAAATTGGCAACAGCTTTTGGCCAAGGAGGGTTAAACTTGTAGCTCCGGAGCTGCAGTTTAGAGTATGGGTGACACGGACAGCTGAACTATGCCCATCCTGTATGTAACCAGAACGTTCAGCCATGTTGATCCCAGGCTGTGACAGTTAAGATTCTGGAAAAATAGTTTTTCTTTAAGTTGAATGTCTTTTATTTGTGAGGGTGTGATATATGAGTAATATGGTACTACTTTACCCCCCCCCCCC